AAAAAAAAAAAAGAGAGAGAGAGAGAGAGAGAGAGAGAGAGAGAGAGAGAGAGAGAGAGAGAAAGAAAGAAAGCTGAGCAAGATTCCTGGAGCAAGCCAGTAAGCAGCTTTCCTCCAAGGCTTTTCTTTCAGTCCCTGACTCCAGGTACCTGCCTGGAGTTCCTGCCCTGACTCCCTTTTCATAATGGACTGCTAACTCTAAGATGAAATAAACCCCTTTCTGCCCAAGTTGCTTCTGGAATAATGTATCACACCAATAGAAAGCATACTAAACAATGCCCTTCAAAGGTGAAAGGATAAACAAAATGTAGTATAATCACATAATGAAATATTACTCAGTGATCAAAAGAAATTAGGAGGTTGGGGTAGTGGTACATGCCATGAAAAAATGAGGTAGAAGAATCAGGAGTTCTAGTCTGGATTAGAGGGATGGAGGGAGGGAGAGAGGGATGGATGGATGGATGGAAATAACCTGAATTGCACATTACTAAATGAAACAAGTCAGTCTAAAGAGCTACATACTATTTGGCTGCAATTATATGACATGCTAAAAAGATAAAAAAAACGATGAGGATAATAGTTAAAAAGTCAGTAGTGTCCAAAGGTTCAGTTAATGTAGGGAAGGGCAAACATGTAGCAAAGGGGATTTTTGGAGCAATGATTTAGTTAGTATGTATAATGTAAATGTTAATACTCTACCTCAGTCAAAATCCATAGCATGAGCAATATCAAAAACGAACTATAATATATATGATAGAGTTTACTTAATGTATCAATCAACAGATTTATTTGGTGCTGGAAATTAAACTAGAGTCTCACCACATTAGCCAAGTGCTCTACACTGAGATATACCCTCCAGCTATTTAATCAAAATTATTTCATTTTTATTTACTTATTAGGCTTCTTTGAGACAGAGTATGTGTAACCTATATTGGCCACTTTAAAGCCCAGGCTAGTCTCAAACTTGGGATTCCCCTGCCTCTGCCTCCCAAGTGCTGGGAATACAGGCACAGCTGTGTCAGCAGTCCCACTTAACTGGGGCTGCCTTTTTTTTTTTAATTATTTATTTATTATGTATACAGTGTTATGCCTACATGTATTCCTGCAGACCAGAAGAGGACACCAGATCTCATTACAGATGGCCGTGAGCCTCCATGTGGTTGCTTGGAATTGAACTCAGGACCTCTGGAAGAGCAGCCAGTGAAGAGCACTGAGGCATCTCTCCCGTCCCAGTTGTTGGTTTTGAGACCAGGTCTCACTGTGTATTTCTGGCTGTCCTAGAACTCACTTTGTAGACCAGGCTGTCCTTGACTGTGGTTATATCTGTATGACTTGATTGCTGATTGATACCGGAGGGTCCATTACACTGTGGGTGACAAGTCTCTAGGCAAGTGGGCTAGTTGATATATAAAAAAAAAAAAAAGCCAACTGAGCAAGCCACAAGAAGAACACCACACAAGTAACTTGGGGGCCACAGTGTTTTATTACAGCAACACAAACAAGAAGATACACAAGAATAACACAAGCAGAAGCAGGTTGGGGGCCAGCAGAAGAAGAAAAGAGTGGTGGGGGTGAATATGAGCAAAGGATCGTGACATATTAAGTATGGCAATGTAAAAGCTATCACCTTATTTACCAAATAAGGACTGTTCAATGTGGGCCTGATATGGTGGCACATGCCTATAATCTCGAACTTGAGAGGCAGAGGCAGGAGGATCTCTCTGAGTTCTATGTCAGCCTGGTCTCAGTATCAATTATCTAGTGATGTGTGCATGTGCAGACAGCAAGATTTGTTTTCAAGTTAACTCATTTTTTTTTAACTTTAATTAGAAAAAGTGGTCTAAGTTCTAAGCTACATGTCTCTATCTTCTGAAATCGACATCCCACAATCAGTCATGGACCAGGTAATACAGTTTGTTGAGCCAAGTTGGCGGTTCATCAAGGACTCAATTCAGCTGGCTGAAAGATGCACCAAACTGGATAGAAAAGGATTCCAGAAGATTGCCATGGCCACAACCATGGGATTTGCTATCATAGGATTCATTGGCTTCTTTGTGAAACTGATCCATATCCCTATTAATAACATTATTGTGGGTGGCTGAGTGCTTTCTCTTCGTGGGAACTAGTGAACAAATGAGGGTGTGAGAAGCTCATGAAGTAAAAAGTTGCCATATACTTTGTGGGTTTTTTTCCTTTCCTCCTCCTAAGAGGTTTTCTATTTCTAAATTAAAATAATTTCAAAATAAACATTTTTCCATGAAAAAAAACAAAAAAAGAAAAAGTGGCCTAAACATCCTTAAGTAGGCAAACTGACACCCAGGTGTAACTAAGTTCACTTCCATCTCCAGCTTCTAGTTGGGCATTAAATTTTCTTTAGGTAAGGCAAAAGTTCAGGCTTTTGTGTTTCCCTCACTGGTTACCCCCAGAAAGCCGCTAGGATGTCTGCATCCTTTCCACAGCTTGTATCAATGCCACAAGGTAGGACCACATTCCCCTCACCGAGTGCAAAAAGTCAACCTATCTGCTGGCTCCCCATCGATGCTCACAAGACTACTTCTATGTGCCCAGGGCTCAAGCGCCTTCTTTCCCTGCATCTGTCATCTTCCTGTCCCTCGGTAAAATTGTACAAATGTTTAGTTAGTATCCACTGTGTCCCATGAGCCAATTTACATGTTCTCAGAATCCCCTTTTTTAAACAAAACATAGCTATGGTTGTCATTTAGAATTTATTTCTCCATTTTCCAGGTGGTATTCAAGTTTAAATGAAAATTTTCATTGCACTCAACAACCTCTGCTTTTCTGGTTCTCATAGTCCTCCTTTTCTTCAAAGCCCCTAGGAAACCCGGGTCTTCCCCACAAAGCTCTCTTTCCTAAAGCACTTGATCAAACACATTCTTACAGAGAGGCAAGGTTTGCAAAAGCTTTGTTCTGAGAAGGCAAACAGGACAGATGTCACTCATACAAGCTCACTCAAGTGAGCACCTTGCAATGTTTATTTACTAGGAACGCTTTTGTTCTTTAGCGCCTCCATTTTGAAGGACTCAAATTTTAGCAGACATGGAGGGGCACACCTTTAAGCCCAGCACTTGGGAGGCAGAGGCAGGCAGATCTCTATTAAATTCAACCCCAGTCTAGTGTACAGAGTGAGTTCCAGGACAGTTAGAGCTACATAGTGAGACTCTTGAAAAAAAAAAAGTAACTCAAATTTTATCAACATGTAAGAATCACCAGAATTATTACAGACTGTAAGGGAAAGTATCTTAATATATATAACAATATCTATGTATATATGTATGTATATGTATACACACACACACACACACACACACACACACACACATTCTATGAAAAGAACAGGGGAAATCAGGTGTCCAGCTGGTAGACCTGGCAACACAATTAACACAGATGTATCTGTCTGTATCTATAGAAGGCTAATTAACATTCTAAAGCATTTTAGTCCTTTAAAGTCAAACAAAAGGCACTGACTGGCAAAGCTCTGTTCAAATTAGAAATGGGTTTTTCTATGTGGACATGCATCCAGGAAAATTCTCGTCCAGTAGGAAGCAAGTGAAGACCACAAACTATTTTCACACAGTGAGTTGTTAATAATTCAATGGTGGTGAGCTTCTATGTATTAAGAATTAAATTCTTAGTCCCAAAGACACAGGTGCCTTACCAAGCAGAAGATAAAACTGCCATCAGTGACTCTGACTATTAATTATACTACAATTCAATGAAACCAGGCATGTAATCCAAGCAACAAGCCAAACCTCAGCTAAATGATCCCAGTGTTACCTTAATGGTATGTGATTGCTGAGGAACATCTCAGCTATGCTAATCAACTCAGCTGTGGTCTCGTGTACAGGATCAACAATAAAAACCTGTCAGAGGAAAAAGAAAAAGAACCCATGAAATGGCATTCAAGCACCCTCAACATTCCCAACCTCAACATTCAAAGAATGTGGTGGTGGGAAGGGATAGGATTTTTTCATGCATTTCACTGGTGACATCCCACTGGTGCCTCTAGACTGCTGATGCCTATTTTATCATCCCAAATAAACCTCAGTTCTATCAGTTCCCCCACCTTGGAAAACAGAGTCTGCCTTTTTGTTATATTTGTTTCTAAGGCTTCCTGAATTAACCAATTTGAACTCAGCTTTTAATCACAGCAACAGTGATTACATGCTAACCAGTTTGTACACATATTCTCAACACAATGAAGTTACTCAGGATTGGGGCTATGAATTGTCTGGTAGAGTGTTTACCAAGCATGAAAAGGCTCTGGATTCAAACTCCAGCACTACATAAAACCAGGCATGGTGATGCCTACCTGCAATCCTAGCACATGGGAGGTGAAGGTAGGGATCTGAAGTTCAATGTCATCCTCAACTGTATAATGAGTTTAAAGGCCAGCCTGAGGTACATGAAAATTATCTAAAATAAAATTCTTTAAAAACAAAAAGTCAGCCGGGCAGTGATGACGCACGTCTTTAGTCCCAGCACTCAGGAAGCAGAGGCAGGCAGATCTCTGTGAGTTTGAGACCAGCCTGGTCTACAAAGCTAGTTCCAGGACAGGCTCCAAAGCCATAGAGAAACCCTGTCTCAAAACCCTCCCCCTCAAAATAGTAATAATAATAACAACAAACAACAACAACAAAAAGTTAAAATTCACTCACATGGTAAGAAAGAGAAAGACCTGAGTTTTTTAAAGAAAAGGGTAGTTTGAAGACTGAGGAAAATACAGGACTGGCAAGACAGCTTAGCATTCTGGTTCTCAACCTGTGGGTAGCCCCCTTGGGAGATGGTCAAACAATCCCTTCACAGAGGGGTGGCCTAAGACCATCAGAAAACACAGATACATTGCGATTCCTAATAGTTGCAAAATTACAGTTTATGAAATAGCAATGAAAAAAATTTTGGTTGGTGGTCACCACAACCTGAGAAACTGTGTTAAAGGGTTGCAGCATTAGGAAGATTGAGAACCACTGACTTATTGCGTCATCTGTTGCCAATTCTGAAAACAAGTTCAATCTCTAGGGCAACAAAGTAGAAGGAGAGAAGCAACTCCTGAAGGTTGGCCTGACTTACGTACACACACACTGTGGCATGTGCATGCCTATACACATGCACAAGCAGAGAATTAAATACATGAAATAAAAAGTTAAGATTAAAAGAGAGAGAGAGAAAAGTACAGAGGGTTGTTTGCCATACAGATCTCAAAGCAATCTTAGCTCCCTGCCTCTCTTCTACAGCAGTTAAGAGGGAGGAGATATAGAAATGACAGGGGAAAGCTCTGCTAAGAAACTTCTTTCTCAGTCTCTCTAAAGCAAAGAAATGAGGAATAGGGGGTGAGGAGGGTAATGAAAAGTAAAGAGGTTAACTGAATTACTAAATTTGAGGGATTAAGATATTAGCGCTCAGGAAGCCCTGCCTCTTCCTGAGGGGTGAGAAACAAGTTAATGACTGTCAGGGAAGAGAGAGACATTTTTGTAAATGGGTAGCCATTGGAAAGTTGTCCGTGCTCCAATAAAAAACCCTTCATTCATTCATGTTCCTCTAAGTAAGAAGGACCCTCAACTGAGAAAAAAGCCTCCATCAGATTGGTCTGTGGGCAAGCCTCTGGTGCATTTACCTAATTAATGATTGATGTAGGCGGGCCCAGCACGCTGCGGGTGGAGCCACCGCTGGGCAAGTGATGTTGGGCTGTGAAAAAAGCAGACTGAGCAAGCCATGGGGAGAAGCAGTAAGCAGCTCCTGCAGCGCTTCTACTTCACTTTCCGTCTCCAGGTTCCTGCCCTGACTCCCTATAGGATGAACTGTTAAGATGAAATAAAACCTTTCTCCCTATGTTGGTTTTGGTTATGGTTTTCAGTACAGTAATAGAAAGCAAACTAGGACAGAAATTGGGCTACTGCTGTGACAAACTTGATCGTGTTGTTGTGGGGGGAAATCCTAGAAGTGTCTGGAACTCTGGGCTGGAAAAGTCATTAGTGCTCAGACTTAAGTGAGCCATTATGGGAGCTTGGAAACTTTTCTCAGGTCAGCACAGAGAAGGTGCGGTCCAGAGGGGGCAAGGCTCATTCCCTGCTGGCAGCCAAACATGTGATGCTTAAGAGTATCCGACATAGTACTGAATTTGAAGGCATAAAGGGTCATGGAGAACAGCTGAAGACTGGCACCATAGGAGAGGTCAAGAGAAGACATTGGTGAAGCAGTAGGAACCCCAGTATTCAAGGGGGTCATAGAAAGAAGGTGAGGCTGGTCACCATGTGCCAAGGTCAGAGTCCCTGAAGAGAGCCCAGGTGAGGCCATTGGTAAAGGTACAACCCAGGTGCATTGGAGACACCAGCATAGCGGGGATTGAAGAACAGTGAGACAGTGTGGAGTGGACTGGCCTGAGCCTACTAAACAAGGTGCATATGCTACAGATGCATAGCTGGGGAAGTGGAGCTGCCCCCGGGCCCCTGGAGCACAGAGGACAACCATGGGTAGCCCGGATAACAGGAACCACACCTTTTACATTGCTGAACTTGCATTTGCTTTGATGTGATTGTGACAGGCACTTATTGTTGGGGAGACTTTGAACATTTAAATGTATGTTGGAATATTTTAAAGAAAACTTGAATGCTAAAGTGTTTGCATTTTTTAAAATACGGTATATTAAATATTGTGGTATGTTTAGTATTATGATATCAGTATTAACATAACATCTTGGAAACAGACAAGAAAGAAGTTTATAGTTTAATAGCGATGTGTTTGTGTGTCAAGGTGATGACAGGCCAATTGTGTTGGTTACTGTTTTGTCAACTTGACATAAGGTAGAGTAATTTGGGAAGAGGGACCCTCAATTGAAACAAATGCCTCCATCAGACTGGCTTGTAGGCAAATCTATGGGGCATTTTCTTGATCTATGACTGACATAGAAGAGCCTAGCCCACTGTGGGTGATGCCACCCCTGTGCAGGTGGTCCTTTGTTGTATAAGAAAGCAGGCAGAGCAAGTCACGGAAAGCAAGGCAGTAAGCAGCTTTTCTCTGTGGTCTCTGCTTCAGTTCCTGCCTTGAGTTCTATTCCCAGCCAACTGTAAGCCGTATGAGGAAATAAACTCTTTCTTTCCCAGTTGCTTTTGGCCATGGAGTTTATCACAGCAATAGAAAGCAAACTAGGACACTCTAATTAAACTCAATGGATCACAAGAAAGAGCAAGTTTGGTGGTGGGGAGGGGGAGCTATCACCCAAGAATACTAACATCAGGACCAAAGTATCTCACGACCTTGAGAACTCACTGAGAATTACAACTACTTACACTGAACCAAATATTGATGTATTCACTTCTCATATAATGTCAAGTATCACACTGACCTTTTTTTTATGTTGCCCTCCTTTCTTTTACTCAGTAAGATCAAAAAAATCTATTTATCCAATGACTAAGTTGTAACTTGGAATAAAAAGATTATTAACATATGGACAAATGACACGACAAAAAAGCAATAGTCGTATATCTTTTGAGTTACAAAAAACAAAACAAAAAACCACCCTCTTAAAACTTATACAGCAGGGGGCTGGAGAGATGGCTTAGAGGTCAGGAGTATTGACTGCTCTTCCAGAGGTCTTGAGTTCAATTCCCAGCAACCACATGGTGGCTCACAACCATCTATAATGAGATCTGGTGCACTCTTCTGGCCTGCAGGCGTACATGCAGGTAGAACTCTGTATACATAATAAATAAAATCTTAAAACATATTTTTAAAAAATTTATATGGCATTTCTATAAACCTAAAATTGCTCTAGGAAAATAAAGTATTAAAATATAAATCCATAAAGTCGCCCAGTGTAAACTTTCAGTTATGGATGGGGCACATGTGTCACACAGCAGCAGCACAGGCTGTCACACATAAACATATTCCAAAGCCCTTTCTGTTTGAACATTCTGCACATATAAAGAGAAAACTGAACATTCTGCATACGATGGAAACGAAAGAGACAGAGCAGAGAGAAACAGCTGTGGGGAGGCAGTAAGAAGTTTTACTCACCATGTTATGCAAGTTTTTCCTGATCTGCCGTATAACTCCAGGAAAGGTGGGTCGAAGTAACTCTTGTAAACTAGACGGCCATGAATTATATCGGCTATCAACCTCTAGGTTGTTGACCCACTTGAATAAAACAAAAAACACAACATGGTACATACACATTAGTCACTGATGGGGAAAAAAAAAGATAATTAATGAGACTTCACAGAGTAAATGAGAAGAATCACAGAGTAGATGGGCATGGTAGCACATGCCAGTAATCCCAGCACTTAGGAGGTAGAGACAGGAGAATCAGGTATTAAATTGCCAATGGCTATGTAGAATTTGATACCAGCCTCAACTATACAAGACCTTGTCTACAGCAAATAAGCAGGCCTAAGAGATAATCAAATATACAAAGTTTGAATAGAAAAATGAATAACTACAACATAGCCCTAAAATAGGTGAAATTATTTGCAATCAACACAACCAACTAAAGACTAGTAGCAACAAATACAATAAAAAAATAAATAAAACAAGCAACCCACAGTAAATGAGACAAGAAAAAGAATAACAAAGCTGCTGGGCGGTGGTGGTGCACGCCTTTAGTCTCAGCACTGGGAGGCAGAGGCAGGCGGATCTCTGTGAGTTTGAGACCAGCCTGGTCTACAGATTGTGTTCCAGGACCCAGAGAAACCCTGTCTAGAAAAACAAATAATAATAATAATAATAATAATAATAATAATAATAATATTAATAATAAAGCTAGGTGTGGTGGCACATACCTTTAACCTCAGGACTCAGGAGGCTGAGGCAGGCAGAATTCTTTGAGTTCGAAGCCAGTCTAGCCAATCAGGCAAGTTCCAGGACAGCTAGAGCTGTTATATAAATAAACCCTATCTCAAAAAACAAAACAAAACAAAAGAACAAAACAAAAATAATAAAAACTACATAGGGACCATCAATAAACACAACTTAAATCACAATCTGTGTAATGTAAACAATCCACAAGATAACTTCACATTCATTAAATTAGAAAAAAATTAACAGCTTGTCAGTACCTAAGACTAGTACAGAGCACACAGGAATCCTCAGACCATGGTGTTGTCTGCAACACTCATTTAAAGAAACAGATATAGATGCAGGTCTCCATTCCAATTGAACTCTCCCATGTATGTGGGAGGAAAGGACACTGAGACACCCACTACAGCAGCATCTACAACTGTAGGAAGGCAGAAGAAAAGCAGATGGACAGTAAGCACGTGTTGTATGGATAAGGAGCAGGGAAATAGGAAGACGTGCTCCATCTTGTGTGAGTGGAGTGCTCTGAAAGGCACACAAGCAACTGCTCATGCTAGCCACCCCAGGAAGCAGGATGGCTGGTGACAAAACCTCTACCACACACTTTCTGTGCTGGCTAGTCTTAGGTCAACCTGACACAAGCTGGTTATCTGAGAAGAAGGAACCTCAATTGAGGAAATGTCCGTGTAAGATACACAGATCCAGCTGAAAGACATTTTCTTAACTTGTGATTGATGGGGGAGGGCCCAGCCCACTGTAGGTGGTTACCATCCCTGGGCTGGTGGTCCTGGGTTCTATAAGAAAACAGGCTGAGCAAGCCAGGGGGAGCAAGCCAGTAAGCAACACCCTCCATGGCCTCGGCATCAGCTCCTGCCTCCAGGTTCCATACCTCTTTGAGTCCTGACTTCCTTCCATAATGAACAGTGATGAGGAAATATAAGCTAAATAAGCCCTTTCCTCTCCAACTTGTTTTTTGGTCATGTTGTTTCATTGAAGCAACAGAAACTCTAAGACACCTTCAGGACATCTTCAATTTTCAGCTATAAAAACATAAATGATGTTCTTTTAAAAAATAAGATGCTAAAAAAAAAAAAATAGACCAACAGGAACTCTCACACAATGTTGGTGTCTGGAACTCTCACTCTAATCTAATGGACCTAAAAAAGCTGAAGACCTTCCGATACCACCAAGTACTCCAGCTCTGATGAACTACCACCCTCTCACCACCCTCTCTAAAAGTCTTAAAAACTTGTTACTAAAAAAGATTTCTAACTGCCGGGGTTGTTCGACCTGTATCAGTCCCACAATATAGAGGCCATCTATTCCAGCCTGATGTCTTTGGGGCTGCAGTTGGAGCCAGGCAAACAGCCCCGGGTCCATCCCTGAGTAGGAGAGTGTGGATCGGGAAACTCCTAGCTACCCCACAGCGCTAAGGACCAAGACAGACACATCATGTCATGTAGGAGGGCTCTCAGTCCATCCTGGAGACTGGAGTCCATGGTTTATTCAAGCATCCTCTTAAATAGCTTTCCAACAGTGGGGGTGATCGAAAAAGACATCTATTATCATGTATAAAGCCGATATCAAATATTTCCTTTAATCCTAGAGGTAGTCTCAGAATGCACATGTACAAGCCCGCTTGCATTCTACCAGCCATATCTTGCTAGTTGCTTACTTGTGTCTAGGCACGTTCTACCAGCCCCATGATGGGTGTGCCTCCACCCAGGGGACCAGGCCTATTGTTACACCAAGACCAGGCATCAAGAGTTAACCAGCTGGCATCTGAAAAACAATGGGAGATTCAAGCTCCTGGGATAGAGCTGAGGTTTGCACCCCAAAATATCATAATCGATATTTTTGGACCCCAACATCTAACAATGTGAATTTGTCTACTTGTTTTTTTTGTTTGTTGTTGTTTTTTTTTTTTTTTTTTTTTTTTTTTTTTTTTTTTTTTTGAAAGAGGGTCTCACTATGTAGCCCTAGCTATCCTGGAACTCACTCTGTAGACCAGGCTGGCCTCAAACTCAGAGATCCTCCTGCCCCTGCCTCCTGAGTACTGGGATTAAAGGTGTGTGCCACCATTCCCACATTATAAATAATTTAAAACCACATTAAAATGTTCTTAATTACATGATTTAAAAGGACGTTAACTATTACTTGATATATGAGTTCTCTGGGCCCTTGTAATCTTTAAAAGGAATGTGAAGAATGGAGGCCTAAAAGGTAGTCATAAAAATAAAATCGGATTATGTAATGAAAAAAAAACATTGATACAAGACACCAACAGACACACCAGACTGTGAAAATATTGAAAACCTTTAAAAGGAAATAAAGGTAAAATAATAGAGGCAGAGGAATGTATGCCAACTTCAGGAATGAATTGTCAGCAAGGAGAAAAGAGGTGTAACTAGGAAGGAACACAAAAAGAGAACTTCAACTGAAACATTTTTCACTCCAAGAAAATAGTAATTATTACACAGATTGACTATTTAGAAAGAATGGTGATGAGCCACATGATTATCAATCTCTTTATTATGTTATTTTCCTTATTCTTTATAAGCAAAACCATTTTGTCAGAAACCAAACTATAAGCATCAAAACATGCAATGGTTATATCACCGAGTGAGAATGTAAGTGAAGACCGTCTACAAATAGCAAGGTCCAAGCTTTAACACCTAGAAATACACTGGGCTACATTAGTGGCTATCCCAGGATACATGTGGCTGACAGGCTGCAGGATACACAGACCTGATTCACAGTATCTCTCTTCCAATAAAATGTCTCTAAAATAAATGCAGGACAGAGCCAAGGAGAAAAAAGATAACACACCACCATTCCCCACATTCTTTATATAGATGACAGAGACACAGACATCACACAGCCGACAGCAAGGTCCCTGTACATAAGGCTATTAATTGGAAATATATGTTCTAATAATAAGTTTGAATTGTGCATGTTGTCACAGACACAGAAAATCTAGACACAACTGGGAAAACACAAACCCTCTTTCCCAAGATGCTCATCTGACTCCTATAAATACAACATAATTGAGAGAATGCTTTTTTTTAAGTTTTTATTATTTTTTATTTGATTTTTGTGTGTGAGTATGTGCACATGAGGGCAGATACCCACATAAATTAAAGCTATCTGATCCCTCTAGAGCTGGAGTTACAGGTGACTGTTGGGAACTGAACTTGGGACCTCTGCTAGAGCAGTATATGTTCTTAACTGGCAAGCCATCTCTCCATCCCTGGAAAGAATGCTTCTTACTCATAATGGTCAGAAAACAACTTTCTAGAGCATGTGAAAACCTATCTTATGCCCAGCATGGTGGCGCATGCCTTTAATCCCAGACAGACAGACAGACAGACAGACAGAAAAATCGAGCCCATCTTATTACGAAAACACAATTTCACTCAAGTACTTGTAAATCTTTTTTTTTTTTTTTTTTTGTGACAGGGTTTCTCTGTGGATTTGGAGGCTGTCCTGGCACTCGCTCTGGAGACCAGGCTGGTCTCAAACTCACAGAGATCCACCTGCCTGCCTCTGCCTCCTTTTGAGTGCTGGGATTAAAGGCGAAGTGCTTGTAAATTTTTAATAAAACACAAATTAGAAAGCGGTAAGGTGCCTGACCAGAGGCCTCAGAACCACTCTAAATGAATACTCACTGAAATAGCAGGACTCCTGATGTCTACTGCATAGTCAGTCTCAGAGGGCTGGATGTTGAGCTTCAAAATATTATGCAGAGAAAGGCCTTCTATTCCTAGTCTGTGCAGCCCCTCCATTACCCGGGCTTCATTCCTCAATGTGTCAAACAGACTGCGGAAAAAGCAAGGCATCTAGTTAAGGGTTAGAGATTATGCCAGAGCACAGTACTTGCCTAGCATATGAGGGCCTGCATTCAGTTCACAACATACAACACATGCACACAGACTGATGGCATTTGGTAGGGAAAAAACTTAAGGAAGCCTGAACATTAAAATTTTCTATCAGTTCAAAATGCTAAAGCAAACCCACTGAAGATCTAAAGATGGAGTTCCTCCCCTTGTTTCATCTGGTCAAAGTACACAGGACAGTGGTGGGATGTGCTTTCCTAGTCCTATTTATTTAAATTCTCAGTGGACATGTAGATTATCTCTCAGTATAAAATTAGATTATCTTTATGTGAACATAATGAAATAGCCCTCAATTTATACTTCATAGTGCATGTGAGTGGAGTAGTGTGTATGCGTGTATTCATATGTGTACACTTGTGTGTGCATGGAGGCCAGTGGTCAATGTCAGGATCTTCTCCTACTGCTCTCCACCTTATTTTTTGAGGCAGAATCTCTCACTGATCCTGGAGCTTCCTGATCCATCAAGACAACTGGCCAGAACTCTCCATGGATCCTCATCTCCACCTCCCCAGCAGTAGGATTACAGGTGTGTGCCATAAAACCTAGCATGTTACATAAGACCTAAACTCAGGGCCCAAACATTTCACAACTAAGTCTTCTCCCCATCCCTATACCTGTACTTTGACCTGTTTTATTTGTTTGCCTGGTATTTTTTTTTTAAGTAAATTTACTATTGACTAACAATTGGGCACACTATGTGTAAGGTATGTGTGCATACGTCTGCATTTTGTGGATTTAGCTCTCTCCTGCCACCTTTATGTGGGTTCCAGGGATTGAACTCAGGTTGTCAGGTTTGCACTGCCAGATGGGAAGTGCCAGATGGCTTTACCTGCTGAGATAGTTCAAGGCTTTAATTTATTCATTTATATGTTACTGTAAGCAATACATACATATGTTCATATGTAGTTTACATGTTTGCAAATGTACCCATGTGTGGGTACAGGCTAAAGGCTCATATCAGGTGACTTTTTTGTGACAGAGCCTCTTCATTCAACTTACAGCTTCAGAGATCAGTCTGTCTCCACCCAACCAGGGCTAGAGTTATAGAAGTGTGCACTATGCCTGGCTTCTGGGTGCTGGAGATCTGAACCCAAGTGCTCATATTTGCACACAGCACTTACCAACTAAGTCACCTTCCTGACCCACCTTTAAAAGAAGAGTTAATCGACATTACTTTTTTTTTTTTTGGTTTTTCAAGACAGGGTTTCTCTGTGGCTTTGGAGGCTGTCCAGGAACTAGCTTTTGTAGATCTCAAACTCACAGATATCAGCACTACATTTTTATAACATCAAATGAATCCATAATTATCTTAAAATTTAAAAACACACAAAACAGCACGTTAAATCTTTAATGTGTGTTTTAATATTAGAGTCATTTGGAACAGGTTCACACACAACACAATGATGACAATGAAGAGGTCTTCTGGGAATAAAGAGATAAGGAGAAATTAACAATAGCAGGAACTTTACTTTTTAGTTCCTATATGCTGTATTATTTAAGATTGTAATGACCGCCAGGCGTTGGTAACACATGCCTTTAATCTCAGCACTAGGGAGTCAGAGGCAGGTGAATCTCTGTGTGTTCGAGGACAGCCTGATCTACAGAGCAATTTCCAGGACAGCCTCTGAAGCAATACAGAGAAACCCTGTCTAGAAAAACAAAAAAACAAAACAAAACAAAATAAAAAACAAAAGATTGTAATGATCAATCTCTTAATGCGCAATAATCTGAAGGACAGACTGTTTTTAATAAATCACTTAGTAAAGTCACATGATGAACAATATTCATACTCATTTTATTAACTTATCACTAGGTCTGTGATGCAACAGATGGGTATAAAGTTTAATTCAATTAATTCACACAATAATATTGTGAAACTAATTCTCCTAAAGCACTAACAACTGCTTTTATTTTTACTATTATAAAGCAATAATGACAGGGACTAGAGAAATGGTTCAGCAGTTAAGAGCACTAGCGGCTCTTCTAGAGGACCCAGGTTCAATTCCCAGCACCCAAATGGTAGCTCAAGACTGTCTGTAACTGCAGTTCCAGTGCTTCCAACACTCTCACACAGACATACACACAGGCAAAATACTAGTGCACATTAAAAAAAAAGCCACAGTGACAACAGTACTGCTATTAATTCCATAGATAAAATCTGAATTTTCTACTGTCCCCAAAACGCATGATGACAATTTAGACTCCATTAGTCTTCAATTACATTTTTACATTTTAAAAATAGTAACAAAAACAAGTATGCAAAATCACATATTGTGTGATTTTACACATTTTACACATCTATAATTACAGCATCTGGCAGGTAGAGGCAGAAGGTTCAGTCAAGGTCATCCTCACAAAGTTGGGAGGCTACCCTGAGCTAATAAGACCCTATCTCAAAACCAAAACAATTTTTTAAATGAATATTCAGAAATCTTTAAAAACTAATGTCTTGTGAGACGGGAGTGCCAGCACTATGATTACACCTACTTTACACTGCACAGAAGCAAGAGAACTCTGCTCTTCTCAATGATTCTATAGTTAACAGGAAAACTACAACCTCAAACACACATTTTAAAACACTCAAGACCTGCACACTGTTTTACAGAATGGTGACAAATCATGCTGCCTACCCCAGTCACAGCATGGGCCCACCTCCAGTGAGCCTCATAAGCTATGATCCTTTGCTCGTGCCACACCAAGGAGAAACACAAACCGAACATGTCAATTATAAATCTTTATGGGGGGGTGAAAAGTGTATATTAGCCATACCTGAATATATCCTGGGTATCTAAATCAATATGAAGTCCGTTGATGAAGAGAGCTGAATCTCCAGGCTGCAATCCTATAGTTCCCTTGAAATACTGAAAACACACACAAAGAGCAGGGACAGTACATTTAGCAAAGCTTGTTGTTCCTGGGCTTTATTACCCACACAAATCTTGCCATTCTGGGGCAGGTCAAGATTCCCTTCTATACTCTCCCATGGACCCTTCTGAGCATCCACTATAGTGAATGACAACGCTGTTTCACTGGGCCTCCACCTTTTTCCCCTTCCCCTTCCCCTTCCTTCATTCTGATGATGCCACAACTTTTTCTATAATGTTGGGCATGCAAGGATACTAAGTGCTATGAGTCACTTATCAAAAAAGAAAATAAGATGGTTGGAGAGATGGCTCGGTGGTTAAGGGAACTGGCTGCTCTTTCAGAGGACCCGGGTTCAATTCCCAGCACCCATACGGCAGCTCACAAGTGTCTATAACTCCAATTCCAGAGGATCCAACACCCTCACATAGACATACATGCAGGTCAAACACTAATGAACATAAAATAAAAATAAATAAATAAATAAATCATTAAAAAAGAAAGAAAACAGTAGCCAAGAGGGTGGCTCAATGGATAAAGAAAGTGCTTGCCATGCAAGAGGGAGGACTGGTGTTCAGATCCCCAGAACCCAGGCAGGCAGGCATGGTGATCCACCTGTAACCTTAGCATTTTGGAAGAGATGAGATTCCCAAAGACAAACTGACTAGCTAGACTAGCTGAATGTGAGTCCTAGGTTCAGTCCGAGACCCTGCCTCAGTAAATAAAGTGGAGAGCAATTTAGGAAGACACCCAGCACCAACCTTCTGGCTCCAGTACATGCTTACATACACTCAAATGCATGTGTACCCACAAAACTGTGTTCCTCACACACATCAAACACAACAAAATATAAATAGGACTAATTAAACAAATATTATCTCTAGATAATTTTTAAAATAACATGTTTCTTCCTGGCCCACAATACAGTAAGATATTTATTCTTTTGGGTTCATTTTCCAATAATTCTCTGAACTGACTACAAAGAACGAAAGCTTACAGTTCTGCTTTATGGAAGACACCAATGGAATGTACAGGTTTGTTCACTGCGTTAATAACAAAGAAAGCCTTTTTTACGAAATTGAATTATCTCCTTAATAGTGAAGGCAGAAGAAGTAAGCTATTTATAATTGGGGTCACAGGAGGATTCTCCCTTTTATCTGTCTATCTGTCAAGTTACACAGGCATTGGATTTCCTTACCTGTGTTTGCAAGTAAGTGCCAGATTAAAGTGCATAGCTTTGCTTTTTTATGCTTCTGTTGCCTTCCTAATTGTGATGCCAACCAAGGCTGGGCTGGCAACCAACACAAGGTCCCCTTGATGAAATATAGGGCTGAACAAAGGGTTTCTAACACCAAACCCAACCCATCTTAAGCCTTCAAACTAAAGCATGCCAAGAAACTGGGTTGTTGTACTGAGGGCAACACCCCTCCACCTGCCTAGGCCAGCAAGGCCTGATCCGTGGAGTACTTCATTGCTGTGTCCCATAGAGTGACAGTTCAGTATGCTGGTGACTGTGCTGCCCAAAACCTGCCAGACACAGATGTGCCTCCACTCTGACACGTCTGTCTTGTGTATCCTACCACAGGAGGGCTAGACAATACAGTGGAGTACAAAAGAAAGTAACCAGACACCAAGGACAGAGTTATCTCTATTAACCCTGAGGAGCACCTTCACTCTCCAGTAGTCAGTGACTAAGGAAAGCATACTTTGAAGCTCAAGCACTGCATGGGAAAACAAAACAGTGAGGAAGCTGTGTCTTAGGCTTCACAGACATGACAGTATTGAACAGAAAACAAGAAGGAGGATAATACAAAATGTTGAAAACACACATCCATGTAACAATGAAAACAAAGACCATAAATCTGAAAGAACAAGGAGGGTGTATATGAAAAAAATATATAAAATTTTTAAATTAATGAAAGACAACAAAACCCCCTTAAAAACAAACAACCCAACAACAACAAAAACAAAAATAAAAACAACAATAAAAAAAAACAAACAAGAAAATAATGGAGAGCTGAAGCAACTAAGAACTGGAATTTCAAACCAGAGAAGAGCAGGTAGAAGCATAGCCCTCCAAGCCAACTCAAGTCATTCCCTGAAGCCCATGTAAAAAGCCAGACGTAACAGTGCACATCTATAAAGTCCGTGCTCCTGAGCAAGACAAAAGGTGGAGACAGAACTGCCAGAAATCCTGAGGCCCAGCTAGCCTGGAGTGCACAGTACAGCATGAGAAACAAAAGAGACCCCGCCTCAGCAAGGGAGAGTGCAAGAACTAATTCCTGAAAGGTGTCCTCTGACGTCCATAGGTAAGCCTTGATACACTAACATGCATACACACACACACACATACACACACACACACTTAAAAAAATAATTGGAATTTACTTTTTGTTTGTTTTTGTTGTTATTGTTTTGGTTTTGGTTTTTTGAGACAGGGTTTCCCTGTGTAGCTTTGGAGCCTGTCCTGGAACTAGCTCTTGTAGATCAGGCTGGTCTTGAACAAAGATCTGCCTGCTTCTGCCTCCCAAGTACTAGAACTAAAGGCATGCCCCACCACCACCCAGCAAGAATTCAAATTTTCTTAATGGGACAGTTTCATGCCCACTCTCTTGGGCCCGAGATGGTAAGGAAGTCTAACTCTGAGTTTGTAAATATAACCCATTATAACTCGTATTTACTGCTAGCTCTGGGACACAGGTGAGCTCACTTTAAGAAAACACATCACACTAGATTTAAGATTGTATGCACTTGTGCTTCATCTTTATAAATTTCTGTATGCATGTATTTATGCATACAAGGTTAAGAATCCAAGAAATACCAATATAGCTCACGTAATTTAATGTTATACCTCCTCTGGCATGGGTAGATGTCAGAACATAGTCCAAGAATGGAATGATAAGAATTCTGAGTGCTTATAAGAAACCTTCAAGAAACTAAGACAAGAGTCTCCAAAAGTTTTCTCCAAAAACAGAATTGTTCTTGGAGTGTGTATTCAAGCCCCTCCCAGGTGTAGGAAATAGGAGTGAGTTTACTTCAGATTATTCATTACAGCTGGACATTGTTATTTGTTTATATGCCTCTAAGGAAAACAACTTTTTGCCATATGCTGCTTGCCCTTGTGATTGGACACTTTACTCATGTGACTCTTAACCTCAAGGTATATGTTCTCTGATGCTCTGAAGAAAACTGACTATTGCATGACACTTTCATCCACTCTGTTTTTAGGCTCCACTCTCCCAGGTCCCACCACCTTTAGAGCGGTAAACAAGGAACCATAAAATTAAAGAAATCCCAAGCCAGCTTCAAACTCACTATGTAGCCAAGGATGGCCACAAAGTTCCAGTTCTTCTGCCTCCACTTCCTACAAACAGGGATCCCAGGTGTGCACCACCTTACCTGTAATGCTTTTAATTTCATAAATTCATATTTGGTTTCTTTCTCAAATCTATTTAATAAAGTAACACCCTACACATAATGAAATCTGGTGGTAAAATGGGTGTGGTGGCACTCGCCTGACACCAGCACTTGGGAGGCAGAGGGAGGTGAATCTCTGAGACAGCCTGGTTTACATAATGTGTTCCATGACAGCCAGGTCCACACAGAGAACCCCTATCTCAAAAAAACCAAAAGAAAGATTTTAAAAGGTTAATTGAACACAAGGGTTTCCCCTACCCCTCCACAACTCTAGAGAAATGTCTGTAAGGAGACAGGCCTTTTCTGTTACGAATCCCCATGGCAAAGAGCACAGACAGAAAAAGACCAAGGGAACCTGGAAGCAGAAGTTGGTGAGAGTGAGTAGTGAGTGTCGTGGCAGTCTCCAGAAGCCACATGAGGGGCTGATGGGATGGACAGACAAGAACCCAGCTACCCTGTGGAGTGCATCAAAGGCAGGCATGAAAAAGGTTTAAAGGAAGTCTGCTTAAAACAAGCGGTCCATACTCCCTGTTGACCCCACCCCCACCCTATCAGGAGACTGATCTCCTTAACAAAATGCTACCAACTTTAATTGGTATATGTGTATGTGATCATTTACTATATAATAATTACTCTAAGTGTTTATAAGTATTACTAAAAGTAATAAATGCCACTACTTTAATAAGTTTCTTCATTTTTTAAAAGATACAACACAGGACAGAATGTTTTCTACCAGTTACTAATACCTTCTGGTTCTCTTCCACTTCCGTTCTAAGTTGTGAGCTCACAGCTGTTTTGGTTATTGCTCTAAGAAACAAAAATATGATCAGGGCTTCACTTAGCATTCCATATAAAGGCTTTCAATTTCCCTATTCTTAAGCATGAAACACATAGTTCAATAAACTACAAAGATAAGAACTAAGTAAATGTCACAGCTCTACAAGTTATTTCACAGATGCACAAATTTCTATTTCTGTAAGACAGAACAACAAAGGAAAACTTCATAGTGACAATACGTGACAGCAAGTCCAGTTGCTTTCAAGGTCTCACTTGACTGTGTGGCCCTACTCCTTATGTGACATTGACATTGACTGTGACAGATAAATAGCATTAAATGCACTGAAGCAGACTTCTGGTCCTATTAAATCCTTCTGCTAAAGGTTGAGTCCTGCATGCGTATCTTCCAGATGCATGATGGATTAAGAAATCTTACACAGGCATACTACACAGTGAAAAAAAGAACTTACTTATAAAACCCTCAGCCCAGAACTAAGCCCACTAGTGCTTCTTAGCAACTTGAGACCAAGATCAGCAATGACATCTGTTAAAAGCTTCTAAGAATGTGGCTTTGAAATAATTTTACCTTGCATTCACAAGACAGAGAGTAACATTATGGAATAGGCAGTTATGTCGGAAAATTCAGAATATTGTTACTATGAAGAGTCAGTCTCTCTGAGCCTCAGTTTCTACATCAGGAACCTGACTGTCCACATCCCCCTTCTCTTCCTCTTCTTTGTGCCAGGACTGAGGATTAAACCTGGGGCCTTACACATGTGAGGCAAGTGCTACCACAGAGCCCTAGGCAAAGCCCTTCTCATCAGGACTCACAACTGGCAGTCTGGGTCAGACTCTAGATTAGCTGATCTGGCATAAGTGCGGCAGTGCCAACAACATCCAGGTCTCTCTCTCTTCAACCACACAACCAATGAATGGTCTTGTCATCTTCTTAGAAAGAGGACACCAATTACAACAGTAGTTACAAATAGGTTTCAAATTAAATCATTTTTACATTTTAGTTATATCATGTTCTATGTAAACATGAAAGCCACTGGGTATAATGTTAAGGAGAAGGTTGTACCAAAACCTTAGTAGATGTTACCTGGCTTTGGTAGGAAAATTCTGACTAATATCTTTCATCACCACCAAAGCTAACTCCACAGGGGCAGCCAGGATGCGGGCAGCAGTCTGGAAACTGAGATCTGCAACAATGCCAAGAGTCATATTAGAACATAGGAATCTAAGGTAATGACAGTAGACCAAAATCCCAGTACTTCCCACAATTCCCTGACAGTGAAGAATGCCTTAGAATGCAACCACTTCATGGACCTTTGGAGTGTTTATTAAATTATTCATGATCTATATGCATAAACCCCTAGGGCACATGCTAACACATTTAGCAGAGGTGTCTGCTAGATATACAATATATCATAAAGTACAGGATTAAGATATTTAGCAAATTATCTTGGGAAAATGGTAGAGTGCACGTCCAATATGTGAGGCCCTAGATCAAATATCAGCACTAGGGCTAGAGAGATGGCTCAGAGGTTAAGACCACTGACTACTCTTTCCAGAGGTCCTGATCCCCAGCAACCACATAGTGGCTCACAACCCTCTGTGATGGGATCTGGTACCCTCTTCTGATGTGCAAGCATGCATGCAGATAATTGTATACATAATAAATAATATATATATATATATATATAGAGAGAGAGAGAGAGAGAGAGAAAGAGAGAGACAGAGACAGAGACAGAGAGCACTATTTTTGTTCGTTTTGTTTTCACTGGTTTTTTTTGTTTGTTTTGGTTCTTTTGGTTTTTGTTTGTTGTTTGATTTTCAAGACAGGGTTTCTCTGTGTAACTTTGTAGACCTGGCTAGCCTCGAACTCCCACCTGCCTCTGTCTCCCAAGGCGTCATTACCACCACCCAGCATATCCGCACTATTTAAAAAAGTACAAACCTAAAAATAAAAAATGGGACAGGTTTTTACAGAGGATTCCCTTTCTTCTCTTAACCACTGTCTTTAAAATCTGTGGTACTCAAATCTTCAAATTACAGGTAGAGATGATGGAGAAGAATCCCAGATCAATGTCAGAGACCAGATCTTTAACAAGATCATAGAGAAATACTTCCCCAAACTAAGGAAAGGGATAGACACAGATATAAGAAGTACACAGAACACCATAAAGACAAGACCAGAAAACAAACTCCATGGCATATCCTATTTAAAGCACTGAGTATACAGAACCAAGAGTACTCAAAGTTACAAAAGGAAAAATTGCAAATCAAATATAAAGGGCAACATATCAGAATAACGTCTGATTTCTCAGCAGAAACTTTGAAAGCCAGAAGATGCTGGAGCAAGGCACACTAAGTGCTAAGAGGCTATGGATGCCAAGTTAGAATGCCATGTCCAGCAAATGTATCTGCCATTGTTGAAGGAGAAAGAAAAACTTTCCGTGACATAAAAAAGGTAAAAGAATTCCTGTTTACAAAACAAAGCCCTAAAGATAATACTCAAAGCAGTAATGCCGGATTGAAGAGAGGAATAATGACACCTAGGAATCTGTAGAAAGAAAATAAATGATGCCCTAATTAAGAAAACAAAAAGTAGAACTGGGAACATAAACTGTTAGGGGAAAAAATGACTGCAATCATCACACACCTTTCAATAACTTTAAATACTAATGGCCTCAACTTCCCAATCAAAAGACGGGATTGCTGGATGAATAAAGAAACAAAACATTTATGCTGTGTACAAGAAACTCATCTCAGCCTTAAAGATAGGCACCACCTCAAAGTAAAGGATGGGAAAACCACTGCAAGCAAATGGACCAAGAAACAAGCAGGCATTGCTTAGACTTCAAACTAAATAGACTTCAAGCTAAAACTAAAATAACTCCAAACCAAATAGATTTCAAACCAAAATTAACTGAAAGACATAAAGAAGGATATGTCATTCTATTTAAGGGAACAATTAACCAAGATGACAGTATAACTAAGGATATACACATCCAATTCTGGTGCACCCAATTTCATAAAAAGCTTACCAAATTAAAGACAAAGATTAACATCAACCCAATAATAATAGTTTTAATACCACACTGTCTCCAATAGAAAAAGACTCAGCAGAGAAGCATGAGAGTTAAATATCTTATACATCAAATGGGCTTAACAGATTATAAAGTATTCCACATACACACCAGAGAATACACATTCAACCCTGCAGCCCATGAGAGCTTCTCAAAAATAGAGCACAAAATAAATCTTAACATTCAGAAAAATAGAAACAACACCATGTATCCTATCTGACCACAGTGTGATAAAACAGAAAATCAACAGCATACAAATCTCTAGAAAGTACACAAACTCATGGAGATTAAAAACACATTACTGAATGTTGAAGAAGTCAAGAAATTCCTGGAGCAAAATAAAAATGAAAATGCAGCACAACAATAATCTCTGGGGCACACTAAAACCTACCCAATTTATAACTAAAAGTACTTACATTAAAAAGTCAGAAAGACTACAAATAAATGGCTTAGTGATGCAACTCAAGAATTTAGAAAAACAAGAACAAAACAAACACAAGCCCAGTAAATGGCAAGAAATATTAAAATTCAGACCAGAATTTAAAAAAACAGAAATTAAAAAAAAAAGAACCACTGACTCTTTATAAGAGCTGATTCTTTGAGAAGTTAAACAAGACTGACACAGACCCTTAGCCCAATTAACCAAAAGAAAGAATGAGAAAACCAAAATTAACAGAATTAGAAATGAACAGTGAAACATTAACAGACACCAAAGAAATTCAGAACAATATAAGAAAATATTTTACAAACCTGAATCTATTAGTTGGAAAGTCTAAAAGAAACAGACAATGTTCTAGATTCGTGCAAACCACCGAAGTTAAGCCAAGAAGAGATCTACAGCTCAGTAACAAATGAGTATTGTTGTATTGGAGTATTTAAACAGGTAAACAAAAGAGTAACTAAAAGCCTTCCAACTAAGGAGCTCAGGCCCAGATGGAGTCACACAGAGTTCTACCAGACTTTCAAAGATCTACAGCTAATATTTCTTAAATTTACTCAACAAATAGAAACTGAAGACGTTCAAACTTCTAGTAAGCCAGTACTTAATAACAAAAATATAGATACAACAAAAAAGAACACTACAGGCCAATACCCATCAGGAAAATACATTCATAAATCCTCAGTAAAATACCTGCAAATTCCATAAAGGCATGTACCAAAATAATTACCCACCATGACAAAGTTAACTTTATCCGCAAGATACAAGGATAGTTCAACATATGTAAGTTGATAAATGTGATAAATCATATAAATAGTCAAAAATCATTTAACCATTTCTGGCCAGGTATGGTGGCACACACCTTAGATCCCAGCACTCAGAAAGTAGAAGCAGGCAGATCTCTGAGTTCAAGGCCAGCCTGATCTACATAATAAGTTTCAGGCCACCTAAGACAACACACCTTGTCTCAAAACAAACAAACAAAAGACTGTCTCAATGTATGTAGAGAAAAGTCTTTGACAAACCCAGCATGACTTCATGACAAAAATCAAAAGAGAATGGCACTAGCAGCCAATATTACCCTAAATGGAGAACTCAAATCCTACTAAAATAAGGAAAGAAACAGGGCAGGCCCTTATACCCATGTCTTTTCCATTTAGTACTCAAAACACTAGCTAGAGCAGTAAGGCAAGGGTAAGAAGGAGACATAATTTCCTATTTGCAGATGACATAGTATTATGCATAAGAGATCCCAAATTCAATAAGAAAACTTCAGCAATTTCAGCAGTGACAGGATACAAAATCAATTTACAAAAATCAATAGATTTTCTATACACCAACAATAAACATGCTGAAAAAGAGAGAATTAGCTTCCAGAGGATGAGCCCCCTTAGTTGGTTATCCAAACCTGAGCAGTCAGCCCTGAAAGCATATATACACAAGCAACACTAAGTGTACTCAGCAAGTTACATTATTAACATGGGAAGAGTTGGAGATGGAAGAAGAGATGTGGTGTAATTATATTTTAATTGTAAAATGGTATCTAAACATACATGCATATGTGTGTGTATGTGTGTGTGTATTTTAAAAAATCATAATCTGTGATACTCTCAGAATCTTGTCAATTTCATTCAAACTCTGCAATCCAACCCCCTCCAGCACCACAAGGTTTCATTCTATAGCAGAAGTTGACCTGGAACTCCTGACAATCATCTTGCCTCAGATGTAAGTACTGGGATCACAGGTACAGTACGTATCCTGGTTAATGTGGTGCTGGGAATCAACCCAGGACTCTGTGCATGCTAGATTAGCACTCTAACAACTGAGTTATATCCCTAGCCCAAGTTCTGCATTTTTTTTTTTAATACGAAAAAATATACTGACACAACTGTCAGTGACCTCTGCGTTTCCATTACCTTGCAGCTGCCAAACTTTCAAGGGTGCCATTTCATTGGTGCTCTCCACAAGATGCTTTCGGAATTCTTTCAGTTGTCCTTCCAAGTTGGGGTACAATTCTCTGACAGAAACAGAATTATTTTCATTGTTTTTTAGAGTGCACTTAGCGAAGGACTACAGATTTATCTTTGTGATTGTCCCCTCCCAAATCTAAGAAAATTTCTTTAGTATGGGCAAAAAATGTTAAAGCACAACAACGGCCCTCTACAAGTTAACACTGTATAGTCTACATGGCACTTTTGTGCTATAAATACGTAAAATCTCAGCAACACCCAAAAAACAGCAAAAAGAGACCAGTGAGCTGGTGAGGCCAGTAAAGGCTTGCCATCAAGCCTGAGAATCTGAGTGTGAGCCCCAGGACTCAGAAGGTGAGTCAGAGAACCAGGTCCATATGCATACTATGCTCTGTCCCCACTACACACACGCACGCATGCACACACGCAAAATAAATAAAAGTAATCAAAAAGTCTAAAAAGAGTATTAAAAGATTCTGGAAATCTTCATCAAATAAAAGTGGTACTGACAACAACCATAGTTCAAAGTGACGGCAAACAACAAGTGTACGTAGGCAATGAATCAACCCAACACAGCAATTCAACTGGAAATGAAGACATTACTGCCTAAACTGGAAACCTGGTTAGACTATTTCACTCAGCCAAATGTCATAACTAAAGCACATGAAAATGAGCCTGGCATATGTTATTTATTGACATCTTTTTTTTATTTTTTAAACAGGCAGCATACGACAGATGTTCTGAAATTCCTACACAGAGCAGAATTCAAGGCTCTGGAAAATTTATCAAGTCACCATGGTTAAGAATAAATTTCTGCTATAAATTACAATATTTTCACAAAATGGTCTGAGAAATTTTTAGACAATTTCCATTATTAAAATCATCTAGCCTGGCGTTGGTGGTGCACGCCTTTAATCCCAGCACTCGGGAGGCAGAGGCAGGCGGGTGTCTGTGAGTTCGAGGCCAGCCTGGTCTACAGAGTGAGTGCCAGGATAGGCTCCAAAGCTACACAGAGAAAACCCGGCCCGAAAAAAAAAAAAAAAAAAAAAAAAAAAAAAAAAAAAAAAAATCATCTTCTACCAGGCATGACTGCACCCAGGAGGCAGAGGCAGGTGTGGCTGAGAGGAGCCTGGTCTACATAGAGAACTCCAGACCAACCAGGGCTACAAAACAAAACCCTGCCTCAAAAATACCAACCACAATAAAAAAAAAATTTCCTGTTGGCTGACAGAACGTTATTTCTGCTATGTGTTTTTAAAGTACTATAAAGCTCTTGCTTATTTTTTTTTTCAGGTTCTGCTTAGCATTAGAAAATAATTCTGGTCACTCTAATTTAAAAATCCATACTACCACCAACTCTATGAACAAACAACAATTTGATCTATTCTGTTATTCAGTCAAAACAATAATACGTAACTTTATGCCATCAACTGAGAGGAACAGAAAATCCACTTTGGCCATAGGTAGATAACTACAGTGCCAACCAACAACAACGTGCTTGGAACAACTAGAAATGACGAACTTTACTATAAGTGAAATGGGTTTTCTCCACTGTAGACTCCATATATAACGTGCTAGTAGAGGCACACTCAGACAGTAATGAGAAAGACATCAGGAATGCAAGGAGGCATTAACATACCGTAATTTTCCAAAAAGAAACCCCTGAACCTCATCAATAGGATCATTTTCACCAATGACTGTGGTATTCACATCAGTTCCTATAAAGACATAGTAAAGACATGTCTAGTAGCTCAGAATAGAAATAAAATGTTAATTTCACAAAGTTTGAATGTTAAAAAGAAATGTCAAATGCTTCGATTAACATTTCACTATAGGCTTTTAAACCAACAGTGTTTAATATTTCTTCTGTTCTTGAACAACATAACAAGAAATTCTCACTAGGTGGTGGTGCACACCTTTAATTCAAGCACTCGGGAGGCAGAGGCAGGCAGATCTCTGAGTTTAAGGCCGTCCTGGTCTACAAATCTAGTTCCAGGATAGCTAGGGCTGTTACACAGAGAAACCCTGCCTCAAAAAACAAAAACAAACAAACAAACAATTGCATTTTTTCTGTAGCCTTAGAAAATTTTCAAAATAGATTTAAATATTATGAAGGATTTATTCACAGTTAAATTATGAAGATTTACAGTTACAAAACCCTAAGTATTATCATTTTCCACTTGTTTTATTATTCCAATCAATCATTTTTATGTTTAAAATTAGTTTAGAGAATATAATAGCATACACCATAAGTCCAGCTATTCAGAAGGCTGAGGCAGGACCAAGTTCAAGACTTGCCTGATTAATTTAGTGTACCTGGATAACTTAGTGAAAGCCTGTCTCAAAAAGAAACAAACAATAACATTAAAAAGAACTGTGGAACTGCTCTGGAAATCAGGCTGGCCTCAAACTCACAGAGGTCTGCCTGCCTCTGTCTCCCAAGTGCTGAGATTAAAGGTACATCACCACCGCCCTGCAACCCCAAATTCTTGACTTATATTATCTTCCTTACTTCGCTTAAATATTTGAAAAAGAAGCTATCATTTCCTATATATTACAGAATATAAAAATTAGGACCTAGAAAATATGCTAAAGGTCATCCACTCAGATATAACAGAACCAAGATGAACCAAGATGCAAATACTGGCTCATCACACTCCTCAACCATTAAGTCATATTTAAAGACAAGAGAACACATTGGTCTTATTTTATAAATTCACCTTTCACCTGAGTATCATCCTTGGCCTTGTACTCCGTGCTCTTAATTGCCAATTCTACACCATAGCCAGAAAGGTAAACTGGCTCCTTCCTGGGATTCTGCAAACAGAGCAAGAATTCTACCATCACCACTTAGCTCATTGTGAGGCATAGCAGTTCCCTTCCTTGCTGGCATGTCTATTGGTTTCATCCCTGCTCAGGTCATGTTTAAGTAGCCACGCTGGTGAGACTTCATGGAAGAGCACACCAATTGGTTATCTAATACCAAATGGCCAGTCCTGAAATATAAATGTGCAAGTAACATTATATGAACTGAGCAGTTGTGGGTGTGCATATGTGTGTGTGTGTGTGTGTGTGTGTGTGTGTGTGTGTGTGTGTGTGTTTATATATACATTTTATGTTTAACAACATAAGAAAAACAAGAGATGAATTTGAACGAAACCAAGGTGGGGTACATACGAGGCACTGGGGGAAGAAAAGGAGGGAATGATGTACTTATAATCTCAAAAAAAACTGAAAAGTTATTTAGAAATTGATATATAAAGTTACTAACTATGCATTCAAAAGAGTTCGGTGAGTATTAACAGCAACAGAAGTACTCGCCTACCAGGAAAACATTCATCCCATTTGTGTATAAAATCAATCTAGAATGTGTTTCCCTCCTTAGGAAACCCTAGACCCCTTTATATTTTTAATCTTGCCACAACTATGGAATGAGAATTTCAAGATAGAAACAAAACTAAGGCTATATGAAAAATCTTATGAAAACCCACTACTCTAAAGCTAATTAAAAATTATGTATTGTGGGGCTGCAGAACTGGCTCAGTGGTTAAGAGCACTAGCTGTTCTTACAGAGGACTTGGGTTCGATTCTCAGCACCCACATATAACAGCCTGTAAAACTCCAGTTCCAGGGGACTTGACATTCTCTTCTACATTCTCCAAGCAACAGGCACATATATGGTATACATACTGAACACATGTATGTATATGTATGTATGCAGGCACTTACAGATTTATATAACTTAAAAATACAAAAGTAAGTCTTAAAAAATATATATGTATCTTTTAAACAGAGGTATCCTGCATGGGTGAACAATGCTGCTCCAAGAAGACACTGGTTATTAAATAAAAATCCCTGTGCTAGGCATGGAATACCTCTCTATTATGCATTACTCATCAGGATAGCCCCAGAGGGCCCCTAAACAATACAAGCTAATGCCACTGCTCTTGGTTGCCTACTATAGCTAGGTATAAAACCCTATTGCTAAAGACACCAGACACATTGGTTGCAGGACATAGAAAAAATTAATTCTGGAACTGACCAGTAAGTTTCCTCGCTGCTGGCTAGATCTCAACAGTGCTGGCAGGTGCTATGGAGGCCACTAGGGAAAAAAAGACATCAATGGTCTTAGCTGGCGCTGGAGCCTAGGTGCTACAATACTGACTGCCAGGCAAGACATACCCACTGGTACAATAATAGCAAGACTGTTAGGGGGATAATCTATGGCTTTCTCATTGGACTCAGAATGCTTACACCACAGCAGAGAATGAATCCCTGTAAACCTGGTCAAAATCCAATGGCTGGGTATGTTATAGGCCCTAAGGGGGAACCTATTATTGTTGTTTTGCCTAATGGTCATATCAAACCAACTTCTACATATTTATATTTAGACATTTATGTTTATACCCATAGATTAGTGCTGCTCTCAATTGTGGTTTAAGAAAAAAAAAGGACTCTATTTGCAGTAGACACTGGTTAATAACTGAGACTCTTAACCACTTAAAAGTGCTGAAAATAAGTGACTATGAGTATGCAGCCTTATACAAGCCATCTATATCAACTACCCTCCCCAAGGCTCAGGAACAGTGCAGATGAGAGCAGAAAGACTCCAAAACCTACAGAAAAGGACAAAGCTGGTAAGCCCCCAGACATGAACAATTTGGTGAGTGAGTGAGTGAGTGTGTGTGTGTGTGTGTGTGTGTGTGTGTGTGTGTGTGTCTGTGCATGCACTGCTTTACTGTATTTAAATGTTTCTAGTGGGGGCTGGAAAGATAGCTTAGCAGTTAAAAGTACTAGCTGGTGTGGAATAATCTTTTTGTACACGGTGAAGATGTGTGTCTTTGCCAAGGCACCTTCTGATTGGTTTAATAAAGAGGAGAATGGCCAATAGCTAGGTTAGGCAGGACTTCCAGGCAGAAAGAAGAGAGGAAATGAATCTAGGTGTGGGGAAGACTCCAGAGGACACGGAGAAAAAACAAGAGGTGCAAGATAAAAGAGAAAGAAAGTTAAAAAATTAATTAATTGAAAAGTGTCGTAGGTGGTAGCACACACCTTTGATCCCAGCACTTGCGAGGCAGAGACAGGTATATTTCTGTGAGTTTGAAGCCAGCCTGGTCCACACAGTGAGGGTTTTTTTTTTCTTTCTTTTTCTTTTTTCAGTTTTTTTGAGACAGGGTTTCTCTGTATTGTTTTGGAACCTGTCCTGGAACTCGCTCTGTAGACCAGGCTGGCCTCGAACTCACAGAGATCT